GAGAGAGAGAGAGAGAGAGAGAGAGAGAGAGAGAGAGACACGAAAAGGGAGAGGGAGACGTTCTATTTCCTTTATTCGCCTCTGTTATTTCGACGTGCAAAAACTTAAAAGATAGACAAAAGCAGTTTCCCCCATACCCCTGGTTGACCCTGACATATTGAATGGAAGCATCCCTCCTCCTAAATTATATTAATTCTGCACGAGGCTATCTGCCAGGCAAGGGCGGCTCTGCATAGATAAAACGGTTATGTATGTAAAAATAAAATGCACTATAAGATGAAGACCGTACAGACAGTCACCTCTGAGCTCTATCAAATGTACGTTGAATAAGAATCTACTTTATCAATGGGGATGTTAGACATTTATTACTGATTTTCTCTAAACTAAGAAGAGTAGATCTATGCAGAATAATAACGTAGATTTTGTCGATGGCGAAATAAAACCATTATTGTCTTGCTCTAGCAAAGGAACGCAGAATTTAGAAGAACAATCTACATGTTGTCAATGGGGAAGTAAGACGTTTATTTCTCTCTTGTTCTTTAAAGGGAAGGCAGACTTTAGAAAAAAGAATCTAGATTTTGCCAAATGGGGTGTAAAACATGTATTACTGTTTTGCTCTATCAAGGGAACGCAGAATTTAGAAGAAAAATCAAAATGTTGTCAATGGGAAGTCAACCATTCGCTGCTGTCAGCTCTAGCAAGGGTTCTCAGAAGAAGAACGGGGGGCTCTCTGGCCTTAAGGTTACGCCTCTCATTCAAAGGTCCCGGTTCGTATCCGGGTAGTGACGGGAATTTTTTTCTCTCTGAAGTTGTCTCCTTTCACCTCGTTTTCTGCTCTCCAACAATGTTCTGTCGCCTGCTTTTGTCTCCACTTTCTACCCCCACCCCCTCACCTCCTTTGTCCCCTCTCCTGGGCTTCTGACTCTTTCTGCAGCCTTTCTACTGCTACTCCTTGGATCTTTCTTATTGCTGTCTTTCAGCAACACTCCTGATCTTCTAGTAGGCAAAATATAGTGTGCAAGTTACGTACATTAAAGATCTCTTGGTGGTCTAAAATCGATAAGAGTAGGCTTCGGTCGCCACCCGGGCAAAATTCAAAACTTCCTACCAACTGAAAATGTTTAATGTGTCCCGCGCGCTCATTTGACCACGTGCAGTTGTGAGCGCCGTAAAACACTTATAAAAAAAGGAAGAAGAACCTAACTGTTGTCGATAGGGGAGTAACACGTTTATTACAGTATTGTCAATCCTCCAGGTGGCTACTACACGTCTCTGGTCCGCCCAGGACTTCGACTTCTCGGCCTCAACACCATACTGTACTTCTTCCCCAACCCCTTGACCAAGAACATGACAGACCCGACTGGTCAGTTTGAGTGGATGGAGCGAGTGTTGACCAGTGCAAGAGCTAACGGCGAAAAGGTCTGATAATTCTCATAATTCTCTCCCCCTCCCCCTTTTTATTTTAGAACAAATTCTGAAACACAAATTTGGTTCTTGAGGGTGTAAGCTGTTGGGGCTCTTTTTAAAAAAAACAGCACTTTATGTCAACAACCATTAAGAGGATTATGATTTCGTTATTGAATTTGAATCTTTCATTTTATATTTTGAATTAATATCAACAGGCAAATGACCTTAGATCACACCACCATCGCTTTTGAGCTAC